TAACGTAGTAGTTGGTTTCTCTGGGTAAGCCCACACTTGTAGGTAGACTGAGGTCCACAACTTGAATTGGGTCATTACACCAAGAAGATTCTGAAGAGTGAGGGTGGGCTATGTGGCCCAACACTGCCAAAGGGTTATGGCCTGGGCCTGTTATAGATGGTAAGGAGGAGTGCTGCTGGCTACTGCCGGATGGAGAAGTAGTGGGCTTAGGTCCGCCACGTGGCCTGGCAAGGTGTCACGGGTTGCCTTGCAAGGCTAACTCCGTGACGTTTCGCTCGCGATGGTGTGGCCATTTGAGTGCTCAAGAGTGGCCGTTGGAAGTGCTCCAACGTGGCGTAACATTGGCCCCAAGTAGCCCAAGTCATGTAGGCCACCAATAGCCAACAAAAGACAAAGCCGCAGCCCATATTAGAAGCTAACCAGCGCTGCCAGCAGCAGCAACCAGCGCTGCCAACAACCAGAAATGGCAGCTAACAATGCAGAGTTTTGGCGCTTTGGTTCGGCACTCAAATGAAAGAGTTTTGAGTTGAAATTTTTACTGGAGATAGGTCTTAGGGGAAGTGTTTTCCCGACCAAGTTTTGCGATTTTTCTTAATTTATGGAATTTATGAAAAATCATTATGACTCCTTGGACATGTATGGTGTTTCCTCCTGCCAGATGTTAAATGGCTTAACAAGCTATTATAAGGGGGTATGGTGTGCTACCTACCTGCCTCCCCGCCCAAACTGGGCTTGAAGTGAGCAACCTTGGGGCAACTCAAGGGCGGGCTTTAGGCATCCAGAGGGTGTCTAGAGTCTCCACGTGGGTTTGGGAGCCCCGTGGACGGTGCAATAATGTAAGCACTGCACGTGTCCTCCCGAGGGGAGGTCCTCTACGTTGTTTCCATTATGCCATGCAATATGGTGTCTTTGGGACTCGTTTTGGACCGAATGGGCTATCGAGGCACCACTAAAGGCCTCGTGTGCCAACTCTAGTGCTTGGTTTGGGTTCGACCTTGCACGAGGGGATCCCGTGGCTTAAGCTAAGCGGTTAGAAGGTGACATCGCATATGGGGGCTATCGAATGAAGGCATCAAGCTATGCAATGACTACGACTACATTATGCTACAAGCAAGCTACGGATTGAGACGTCGCCTTACTCTTGCTACACGTTGGTGCAACGCTAAGGTGCGCAATGGCCTTAGGCGGAATCTAGCACACGTGTTGGCATGAGGACTACGCCGTGGGCAAGAGATTGACCCTCGGTGGCTTGTGGGCTTTGCATGATCGAGTGGCCATCCAATATGCACCTATTGAGGCATGCTAGACCCTACGACACTTCGAGATGCTACTAAAGACCCAACATGCAACGTTGGCTTGTCGGCTAAGTTGAGGACTTTTGCTAGCACATTGTTGTGTGGCTAGGCACCTTGATGACATAAACCTAAGTTGGGCGAGCACCTTGCTTGAGGTAAGCTTGGCGCTATGCAGAGACTTATGCCGTGCTTGGTGCACTTGAGGCGTCAGGCCTACTTGTGGTATCCGGGTGAAGACAGAGCTTCCATGTGAAGTTGTTTTGCTTGACAAAGCATTGGGCCCTAATGTTCAAACGGGTGAGATCATCAACACTCGATTTGTCAACGAGCTATGGCGAGCTTAAACTTGGTGGAGTTTAAGCGCCACATGGGCAAAAATTGATCCGCTGTGCCTCTAAAGGAGTCAGCCCGTGGCAGTTGGTATCAGAGCTAGATCACTCATTTGGGGTGAGTTCGATCTAGAGCGGACATGCAGCTATGTTGTGATATCATTCTTCCGTGGACCCCGATCTCGCTGTTTGAAGGAGTATGCATGAAACTCAACCTGGGGGACGTGTATGACATCCGAGACTCTAAACAAGACCGCCGTTGGTTTTCTAGTCATGTTTGAACTGTGGGAGCTGATTGGTGATGTCTTGGGGTATTCGTGCCTATTGTGTTATTTTTTAGCGATGCCTTGAACGCAGCAACCGTTCTTGAGGGTGCGAATTGAGCAGCATTGTGGCATCTAGTGTTTCCTTGCTAACTTGGTGTTTCCCTCTCACTTTGTGGACTTGATGAGCATTTCTACACTGTGGGCACAATGTGGAAGAAGTATGCCACATTTGTGGACGGGTTGCTTCCTAACCAGCATGGTTGGCATGATTGTGTTACTTTGTTGGCTACATGGGGATTTCAACTACAGTTTGGACTTGTGGAATGCTTGTATCAGATTGTGGGCATGTGATCTTCAACTATTGAGCCTTAGAGATGGATTTTCATTGGCAGCCATGCACGTGCTATGGCATTATCACTGGTTCGCTTCAGGGGGCCTATGTTTCGACCGTTCGTGGTGGCATTTGCAACTTGTGCTTGTCAGTGGTTTTCCATCTTCAGACGCATGGTTGTTGACTTCTTAGAGGGTTTGTTCGGAAAATTTTCAGGACAAAATTTGAAGTCTTGACTCCCGTGTGCAGAGGCATCAAGTGTACATGCTTGCTAGAGAGTGGGGTGATGGATGAAATCATCGTTGTTGGAGGACAACCATGTAGCGGGATTGTAAAGTCAAGACATGAGTTGGTGCCAGGATCATCGCACCGTTTTGAGCATATTGTTGAAATGGCTAGTTTCGTGGGTGGCAGGAGCGGTGAGCCTTTGAAAGGCAAAATCTTTGAGCTTGATGAGATAGTTGACTCGGGTGAAGGCAGTGGCCGAGGTACTGGGCAGCATGAGTTAATTCTAGCCAGCAAATACAAGTGAGACAGAGGTCTACACTTTGCCAGAGGGCACGAGTTTGAGTTAAGCCAGAGGGCTTCATTTTGCTAGAGAGCAATAGCCAGAGGGCTTCAGAGTTTGAGTGTGCTAGAGGGCAACAACCAAGAGGGCTTCAAAGTTTGAGTTTGCTCAGAGAAGCTTGAGTTTGCTCGGAGGAGCATTGGCAGAGAGGCCATTTTGAGTTAGCTCAGAGGAGCTTGAGTTTAGAGGAACATCGTCTAGAGGAGTCTGCCTAGAGGAGCATGAGTTAGCTCAGAGGAGCTTGAGTTTGTAGAGGAGTTTGCTCGGAGGAGCATTGGCAGAGGTCATTTGAGAAGAGGGCTTGGCATTTCAAGAGCATTGGCAAGGGGCAGAGTTAGAGACGCTCAGAGGAGCTTTGGCAGAGGCCATTTTCAGAGGGGAGCTTGGCTAAAAGAGTTGGATGTTGAAGGTAGGCCATCAACACAGAGGTGTTGGACTCATCAGAGGAGCCGATACACGCACTGCAGCACCAGCTTTGTGCTACATCAACGAGGACGTTGATGGTTGAAGTGGAGGAGAGTGTCACGGGTTGCCTTGCAAGGCTAACTCCGTGACGTTTCGCTCGTGGTGGTGTGGCCATTTGAGTGCTCAAGAGTGGCCGTTGGAAGTGCCCCAACGTGGCGTAACATTGGCCCCAAGTAGCCCAAGTCATGTAGGCCACCAATAGCCAACAAAAGACAAAGCCGCAGCCCATATTAGAAGCTAACCAGCGCTGCCAGCAGTAGCAACCAGCGCTGCCAGCAACCAGAAATGGCAGCTAACAGTGTAGAGTTTTGGCGCTTTGGTTCGGCATTTAAATGAAGGAGTTTTGAGTTGAAATTTTTACTGGAGATAGGTCTTAGGGGAAGTGTTTTCCCGACCAAGTTTCGTGATTTTTCTTAATTTGTGGAATTTATGAAAAATCATTATGAATCCTCGGACATGTATGATGTTTCCTCCTGCTAGATGGAAAATGGCTTAACAAGCTATTATAAGGGGGTATGGTGTGCTACCTACCTGCCTCCTCGCCCAAACTGGGCTTGAAGTGAGCAACCTTGGGGCAACTCAAGGGCGGGCTTTAGGCATCCAGAGGGGTGTCTAGAGTCTCCACGTGGGTTTGGGAGCCCCGTGGACGGTGCAATAATGTAAGCACTGCGCGTGTCCTCCCGAGGGGAGGTCCTCTACGTTGTTTCCATTATGCCACGTAATATGGTATCTTTGGGACTCGTTTTGGACCGAATGGGCTATCGAGGCACCACTAAAGGCCTCGTGTGCCAACTCTAGTGCATGGTTTGGGTTCGACCTTGCACGAGGGGATCCCGTGGCTTAAGCTAAGCGGTTGGAAGGCGACACCGCATATGGGGGCTATCGAATGAAGGCATCAAGCTATGCAATGACTACGTCCATTGAGGGACTACATTATGCTACAAGCAAGCTACGGATCGAGACGTCGCCTTACTCATGCTATACGTTGGTGCAACGCTAAGGTGCGCAATGGCCTTAGGCGGAATCTAGCACGCGTGTTGGCACGAGGACTACGCCGTGGGCAAGAGATTGACCCTCGGTGGCTTGTTGGCTTTGCATGACCGAGTGGCCATCCAATATGCACCTATTGAGGCATGCTAGACCCTACAACACTTCGAGATGCTACTAAAGACCCAACATGCAACGTTGGCTTGTCGGCTAAGTTGAGGACCTTTGCTAGCACATTGTTGTGTGGCTAGGCACCTTGATGACATAAACCTAAGTTGGGCAAGCACCTTGCTTGAGGTAAGCTTGGCGCTATGAAGCGACTTATGCTGTGCTTGGTGCACTTGAGGCGTCAGGCCTACTTGTGGTAACCGGGTGAAGACGGAGCTTCCATGTGAAGTTGTTTTGCTTGGCAAAGCATTGGGCCCTAATGTTCAAACGGGTGAGATCATCAACACTCGATTTGTCAACGAGCTATGGCAGGCTTAAACTTGGTGGAGTTTGAGCACCACACAAGCAAAAATTGATCCGCTATGCCTCTAAAGGAGTCGACCCATGACATAGGGCTAGGAGGATGTTGATGCTGCTCCTGCGCGGGGGTAGTGCGCATGGGTGTACCCTGTGTACTGGATAACGATCGTGGGGGAACCGGCTCTGACTGAGATGTTGGTCCTTGGTCTGGGTTGTCACGCGCCAGTGTGCTTAAGGGAGTCGGTGTAGCTGTTGTTCGCTGGCCGGAGGTAATAGAAGACAGACTGGCCTCTAATTCATCCACTTTCGGCGACAGTGTTCAATTGGTAGACCAGTGCTTCCTGCACTGCCGGTTCTAAGTGCAGGGCCATAACCGGAAGAAGCTCCCTGTTCTTTGGAGACGAACTTGTAGGTGTGGCTCTCACGACCCAATCTGCCACAATCATAACAGAAATCTAAAAGTTTTTCGTATTTGAATATGAACCAAGAGTCGGAGTGCCCCTGTCCCCATTGCAACCAAAGGCCCCTGGGTAGAGGTTGCTATGTATTAATCCCCACACGGATCCTTAAAGAACTTCGATACAACAATAGCCCCTCCGTGTGGGCTTCAACCCGGACTAACCTACCTATACGATTCCCCAAAATCTCATCATTATGTTTAGTAAGCTTCTGAACGGGGAGGCCATGGACTTGCACCCAGAATTGACACCATTTGAAATTGAGTTCTTCGACTAATTGCCCCGACGAAAGAGGTTGAAGGACTAAAAGCCATCCCATTACCGACCAAGGACTATTGCGAAGGATGCAATGTCTATCCTCCTTTTCACTAAATTGAAATAGAAAAATGTTATCATTCTAAGGGGATATAGTGAGGTCCCCTCGAATCCGCCAAGCTGCTCGAATAATAGTGGTTACTACCCCTTTGTTAAGAGTTTTAGGGGCCAGAATCTTTCCGACCAGACAAAGATGAGAGAGGTTGTCATTTTCCCCACTTCCTTCCTCCAAGACTAAGCCAGAAGATTCAGCCAGAAAAGAAGAGGAGGAGGGTAGCTGGGTAGACGAGGCCATGAAAGAGTAACAGAAAAACTTGTGGGAAGGAGGAATAAGAAGAGCAATCAAAGAAATGAAAGTGTATAACCGAGGTAGAGACAGTGAGACTAGAAAAGAGACTCTAGATAAACCAGAAGAAAGCCCTTAGGCCATGGCTCTCATTTTAGAGAGAGAAGCTCTCATTTTAGAGAGAGTCTACTTGGAGAGAGATTTTTAAGTGAAAAGTGGATGAAATAGTAGCTAATTTACAAAATCCTTCTATTATCATTTTTTTTCCTAAAAAAATTTGTTTGTAAATTACAAAATTCAAACATTAACACTTCAACATGAACATTGTTTTAGTTTTGAATGATATCAAAATTTAAAATTGGATCACTCAGGTCTATTGGAGTAGACCTATAATACATATGAAATATATATATATATATAGAAAGAAAGATGAAATTTCAGTCTTGTAGCATTCGGATAGTGAACTTTCAGTATTTTGAAGTAGTAAAATTTCAAATGCGAGGGCTAAAATTTCAAAATTGATTGCCAACTATCCAAATGTAACTTATTTTGTTGTGATACATTTATTTTTTTAATAAATTCAAAAGTGAGGGCTAAAATGTCGAATTTGGCTCCATGGCTTTGCTTCCATTCGAAATGATCTAATGATAAGAAACTCACTTATTTTATTGTGATCATTTTTCTTATAAATTCATTGTTGAGGGTGTCAATTATGTCTTTTACAATTTTAAGAAATATAGCTTGTAATGTTTTTGATGTTCAAGGAAAAATATTTATCTAGTTATTTTTAAATATCAACAGTGAAATGCTTTTTAACCTTTCTAAAAATAAACGAGTCTTATTAAGAGATTAAAATCTTATCAAGAGATTCAACATATGATGAGCTTCTTATCAGCAACCAACCTTCACTATTAAATGAGTACTCCAATTAAAATTACAGTGAGTATGGTTTGATTTGATTTGATTTAAGACAAAGTTATTAGCCAAACTGTTATTTACAGTTCGTTAAATTTTGAAATGAAACAAAATTATTAAAACAGATAATTATTTTGTATGTTCTATAAGTGCGACTTTATAGACAGGAGAACGGGTAATTTGATCATTTTGCATAAACATGTCTATATGAGTAGAGTAATTTAGCGAACCTTAAATGGAAGAAATTTAAAATTGGATTTATGGACCGAGTGTCCTATTTTATTTACTTTTCTCTTCAATTTTTATTTCTCTTTTCATTTTTTTAAATTTAAACTTATAATTCAAATATAATTTAGAAAAGAAAGCCAGGCTTTTGTATCAGACAGAACAAATCTTGTTTTTCTAATAGGAAGCATCTACTATGAACCCTGTAAAGAATCAATATTTGGTATTTACATCTCCATAAGCGTAAGGCCAGTGAGGCTATTATTGTCTTAGGCCTCTCAATGGGAAATATCACACTTCTTTGTAATATATATATAAATCTTAAGGATGGTCAATTTTTCGGTCTCATTCTGCCTTGCGTCTCTCGACTCAGTTCGCACGAGTTTCTTTTTGCCTCAATGAAGAAGTGCTGTTGGGATAGATTTTGCTTTCTCTTTTCCCGCTCCATTTATTTATTTTGATCGGCAAAAGAAAATCTTTATTGATGGGAACATACAAAGTATGAAAGAGTATATCAATAAAAAGGAGCTTGGAGCTAGCAAAAGCTCCAAGCTCCAGTTGGTGAGAGACCAACAAGTAACAAAGAAAGAACAAACATAATAACAAAATGGCTTCCACATGAACCTCCAGCAGCAGACTACCAACAAATAACCACCAGATTGTAGATAACTAACAAATTAGATCAGGTTCTTAGCCACTAACAACATACTACTAACAGCAGAATCAATCAACCAGCAAAAACAATCAAAAGAGCAGTAGAGCAATCAGCAAGCTACCAACAGCAAAATCAATCACTAACAGAGCAAGACAGCAAAATCAATCAACCAGCAAAACAACAGAATCAATCAACCAGCAAAATCACTAAAAGATTGCAGAGCAGGTTAAGACAGAAAACAACACAGAGAATGCAGTAGCTGATGCTCAACAACTAATGCTCTACAACACAGAGATAGAATTCTTCTAAACTCATTAGCAGAGCCTGATTTGTCTCCAATTGAGAACCACGTCCTCGACTGAGAAGGGGTAGTCATTGAGAAAAGCTTTGAGCCAAAGAGCTAATCGGATCTTAATAGGTTCCCACAAGTCTACAGAATTAGGATGAGCATCTCTAAAAACACACTCATTCCTATGCTTCCAAAGAGACCAGAGAAATATTAGTGGAATTGCACCCCAAAATTTCCTAAGTGGGCGCTTAAATTTACCACCCTTCCACCAATTAAACAGGGTTGCCACAGATTGTGGGATACGCCAACAGAGACCTTAGTCATGTAACACAAATGAACAAATGGTCCAAGAGAAATGGCAATGAAGCAAAACATGAGTAGCAGATTCAGGAGCCATTTTGCAGAAAGGACATAAGGGAGAAACATTGCTGCCAAGAAAACCAATATTGAGTAGAAACACAGCTGTTTTGATTTTATTTTCCATGCTAACTATCCAAAAAAATGAACTTTGGAATGTAAAATATTGCTCAAAACGAACTTGCTAATGATGAGATGAGGCCCAATGAGAGAATTGCAAAGAGAATATAAAGAAGACACGGAGAAAACACTAGAACCTAGGGCTGCAGAGGACCACACCAAGCTGTCAACATTGTTAAGGCTCAAGGGGGAAGCAGTGGATAATGTTATAATCAACCTAGCTTTAGCAGCCACTTCCCAAGCATACAGGACTCTTTTATAGGGAAAGTTCCAGATTGTAGTGCTGGTTTTCCTAGCATAAAATTGTTGAAGAGATCCATTCTTATTTGTAGACAGGTTGAAGAGAGAGAGGAACTTATCCCTGAGATAGGCAGATCCACACCATTTATCATGCCAAAATCTTATACGATTACCGTCTCCAACCTTGATTTGGCAGTTTTCCAAAAAGAAATGAAACACATTCGAACTATGAACCCCTATAAAGGTAATGTCCTTCCATACCCTAGAGTGCTTGTAGAAGGATTGCACAAGAGGACGCCAACACTCTACCTCAATTTTATACTTGCTGCAATAACTTTTCCCCATAATGCTAAAATTTGATTTACAAATTTCCACCACCATTTAAGAAGCAAGCATGCATTAACATCCCTAATCCTTCTGATGCCCAAGCCCCCTTGGGCAATACTCTTTGTAATCTCAACCCATTTTACCAAATGAACTTTTCTTTTTAGACCATTACCACCCAACAAGAAAGTAACCTCAATCTTTTCAATTTCATGAGCCATACCTTCAGGCATCTTGAAGAGGGAAAGATAGTACACAGGGAGACTCGAGAGAGCAGACTTGATCAAGGTTAACCTCCCTGCAAAGAACAGTATTTTCCTCTTCCAGCCTGATAGTCTAGATCTAATATTATCAAGCACAGGCTTCTAGGTTGATTCTCTACTTGGGTTGGCTCTTAAAGGCAGCCCCAAAAATTTCAGTGGCAAGCTTTCACCTTACAGTTCAAAAGCTTTGCAAAGGCATGTAGAGACACATCATTCACACCTACACCACATATAACGCTCTTGTGATAATTGATTTTGAGCCCAGAAAGAACTTCAAAGCATCGAAGGAGTCTTTTGACAATCACCACCTGGTCCATATCAGCCTCACAGAAGAGGATTAAGTCATTAGCTAATTGAAGGTGAGATAAAAAAACCTCATTAACCCTAATCGAAAAAACATGAAGGATGATAAGAGTTAGTGCTCTATTCAGAAGAATATTAAGCCCCTTAGTCACTTTATTGAAAAGGAAGGGTGACAATTGGTCACCTTGTTGGAGTCCTTTTTGCGGTAAGAACTCATTAGTTGGTGAACCATTGACGAGGATGGAAATTCTGGATGTAGACATGCAGGCTTTTATCCAAGAGACCCATTTAGCCAAAATCCAAAGCTAGACATCAAAGAGAACAAGAACTCCTAGTTTACTGAATCAAAAGCTTTCTCGAAATCCAGCTTGATAATCAACCCTTGTTGCTTAGCCTTCTTCCATCCATCGGCTACTTCATTAGCAATAACACTCCATCTAGGATGTTCCTTCCCCCTATAAAAACAGTCTGAGTGTCACCAATAATGGAGGGCATCACAGACTTCAATTTGTGTGTTAGAACTTTTGCTAAAATCTTGTATATAGAACCCACCAAGCTAATGGGTCTGTAGTCAGACAAATTAATAGGATTAGAAGTCTTGGGGATAAGTGTAATGAAAGAGTTGTTGATTCCATAGGTAAGACTGCTGTGATTGTGAAAATCTTAGAAGAATTGCATGATCTCCTGTTTCATTATTCTCCAAAACTTTTGATAGCATAGAAGGTTAAACCCATATGGGCCGGGAGCCTTGTTGCTATTACTCTCTTTAATGGCAGCCCATACCTCTGCTTCAGTGAAATCTGATACAAGATGGTGGGAGATAGTGCCCTCAATTAATTTGAATTCCCCTCCCAACACAGGCCTATTAACCCAACTTTCCTTGAAGCGTTTCTTGAAATGAATGAAGACCTCATGTTTAACTCTACTAGGTTTCTCCAAGGACACACCATTTACTGAGATGGAATTTATCATGTTCCTATTATGTTTGGTACTTGCAACAACATGAAAGAATCTAGTATTTTTGTCACCATACAGAGACCAGTTCATTCTTGATTATTGATGCCATAACCATTCCACCATTCTATAGAGTTTCCACACTTCACATCTTACTTCTCTTCTTCAAGCCATTTCTGATTGAAGCAGTACTCTTTCCTCTGCAATTCTGTCTAAGGCATGCAATTCCTCCTCTGTAGCCTCGAGTTTAGTGGTAATATTACTAAACACTTCAGTATTCCATATCTTTAATTCAACCTTAAGGTGCTTGGGTTTTTGCTGGATTATGAAGCCTGCCCAACCAGTAACAATAGTGTTCTCCTAGCAAGAAATGAAAAGATGAGAAAAATTAGGATGCAAGGTCCAAGCGTTAGTAAACCTGAAGGGCTTAGGGCCCCAATCTCTTTCATCTTCCATCATCAAAAGAGGGCAATGATGTGATATTAACCTAGGCAGGCCCCAAAGCTTCATTTTGGAGTGGATTAACCATTCTGGGCTGAGCATGATTATGTCAATTCTACTCCATTTTTGGGCCTCCTGAGAGTTACACCAAGTGTATGATCGTCCAAGAAGGGGCAGGTCACTCAATTTGCATTTGTCTATAAACTCATTAAGATGGTGCATTCCCCTATCTCTTCTACACATCCAACTCTCTCTTCCACGTGCCTTATTTCATTAAGATCACCACCTAAGCACCAAGGGCTAGGGAAGGAGTCTTTGAGCTTAATTATGGAATTCCAAAGAGTGGATCGGCTACTGACATCATTAGGTGCATACACATTTAGAAGAACACAATCAAAAGAATTGTAGAGTGTACCTGAGAGAAGAATAAACCTCCTGTTGCAGCAACTCCCAGATAGTTGGAAAACATCCTGATCGCAAATGCAAAGGAGCCCTCCTGCAGTGTCAACAGGGTCCACAGACATAAACTTCATTTTCCTATTTCCTCAAAGCCCACGAGCAACAAAATCTAAAACCACTACTTTCTTAGTTTCTTGAAAGAAAGCAACATCAATATGTCTATCTCTCAAAAGACGTTTGATTCAGCCCCTCTTTTCGGGCTTACCAATGCCTCTGACATTCCAAGAGAGTAGCTTCCTAGAGACCAATTGATACACTGTGAGGCCCCCAGTCATTGCTATCACAACTTTCTCGAGCCCACTCCACTGATTCTCTCTTTATCATTTAGCTCAAGATCGATAATCTTGTCCAGCACAACAACTTCTTTGCCCTTAAAATTAATACCTAGTTGCTCCCCCAAGTTAATGGTTGCTTTAGCTTCTTTGAGGATGAGGCTATTTGAGCTTGAGTCTCCCTCGGACAGATTTGATTGAGCAAAAGCAACGACAACAAGTCTGAAGATAACAGACCCGGATGTATGTTTACTAATGGTTGCGGCTTTCTGACCGTAAAGCCTAGCAAAACGGGAGAAGCCCTCCACATGAGCCTTCTTCTTCCCAGATTTCTTAGCCTTCCGAAGGGGATTAAGGGTGAAGGAAGATGATCCATCAAGGCTTTGATCCTAAAGCCCCTGAATGCCCAATCTAGATGGGCCAGCATTAACATGTGGCCTAAGGACAGAGCTTTACTGCTGCTAGGCCTAGTAACAGGGGGTTCAGGTGACTTAAAAATAGTAAGGCCTTGTATTTGTTGCATACCATGTGGTTAGGCTAAATCCACCTCAAGAGTAATGCCAGGTCCAAGATCTTCTTTTGCTCCACTAAGACTTTTGATAAAACCAGAAGATAAAACTTCCTTAGCACTCCTCAGTAGGACAACAAAGCTTTTTGGATAGGGTGTTCGCTCCTCCATCATTGTTACTTTCACTCTTACTACACTAGCATGGCTGAGCCTCCCATCACACAAAGTCTTCTTAACTGCTGTGTCCATCAACTCTCCACTATAGCACTAATTAAGTCCTTTCCTATGCATTACCTCATTGGAACCAGCAACCGTCGCACCAGCTACTTTCACACCTAGTTACCTATCACAACAGGTCTCCTCAGCCACTGTGGCCTCCTTCTCACCACTGTTGCACTATGTGAGCCCGCCATCACCTAAGTGATCATACCCATGTGCCACTGCAGCATCATCAACCTTCTCTATGCTGTACTTTTCTGGAAAATTAATGGCTTTCACCCTACAGAAGCCTACAATGGAGTTGCAGTCACCGTGCTCAGTGTGTGAGCTGCTAAAAGACTTAACTGGGTTGTCAAAATGGTCCTCATACACAAGGATAGGGTGGAGTATGCCCTTGCACTCCAAGTTTATTGTTGAAGAGATGAACTCCATGCAAGATGTAACCACTTTGATTTTGGTGTAGGAGAAGGACTTAGGTTGACTGATATCACCCTCCAAGCTAAGAATTGACCCCCACAAGCTTCCAATGTTGTTTAGTGTATTCCTATTCCAGAGGTTAAGGGGTATGCCATAACACCTTAACCACACTCATCTCTCTTGTTGAATTTGGGGTCCTGGCTGCCATTCTAACACCTTAACAAACTGACTCCAGTCTTTAAATCATTCCTTAATATTGTGGATGTTTGATTGCACCTCCACATGGGATTTAAAAGTCACAACTACATCACGACCTCCCCCCTTTCTGACTACAGCTTGCGGTGGCCCATTCTCCTTTAGGGCCTTTTTGATGATGTTAGCAGAATAATCCATATTAAGTCTGATTATAACAACGTCATAGAGCCACCCATGGCCATCTTCATTTACTTCGATAGTCGTGCTAGCTTTTCCAGTGATTTTTCCCCCTTTTAGTACCTCTGCGAACGATCTGGGGCCAACAAATAGTATTTGATCCCTGCTTATTGCTGTTTCAAATGCACCTCTATAGTTCTGGGCTTGCCTCCTAGTTTGCACATCCCTGTTACTCCTGCCATAAGAAACCATGTTGACTGCGAGAATCTTATCATCCACCAAAAGACCATTTGCTTTTTGAATAGCAATATCTGATGCTACAGGACAGTCGAATCTCACAAAACCAAATCTTGAGTTGGACACTCTTCTTCTTTTGAAGGGGACAAAGACGTCTTTAACTATGCCAAACTTGGTGAATAGCTTGAATAGGGATTTAGAATCCATTGAACTTGGAAGGTTGTCCGCAAATACTGTGCATAGGCCCTGCTTTACTTCTTTGCCCCGAGCTCCACCTCCTCGCCGCTGCTTCACAACAGGAATCCAACCTCCACTACACTTAAATTCAATATAATAAAATTAAAATTCAAAATATTACACTTAAATTGTATTTGGATCATCAATTTGAATAGAGATTTAGAGAGCGAAATTTTTTTTTTGAAAAGTTGAGTAAATGTGAAATATAAATTTTTTCTAGAGAATTTTTTTAAGGTACCTGATATTAAGGTTTTATAAGATAAAGAACATACAATATGTTCATAGTAGTTAAGATCCCTCAAATTTCTAGAGAAAAAATTCAACTCAGAAAAATTTTGCCCGACTCAAAGAAATTTCTTTTATTTCACATAGAAATTTTAAAATTTCTCTACGTCGATGCCGAAATTTCTCTGAATTGGGCAATATTTCCCTAAGTCAAATTTCCTTTGTAAAAATGTTGTGGGACCATAGTTAATTAAAATAAATAAATAAAAATCTTAGATCTCTCCTACTACACAAAGTTGGAGAGGGACGTTTCATTAATTTTTCCTTTTTGTTTTTGTTTTTGTTTTTTGTCTTCTCAATTTCTTTTCTCTTTTTAAATCACTCTCCAAATCAATGATCTAAACACAATGTTAGTGCTCATTTTCACTTATTTATTTATTATCGTAAATTTTTTAACTTGCATTAATTATAAATCACTATCCATAATATACTATATTAGTTATACTTTTTTTATTAGTATTATAAAAATATTAATTAACAAATTTTAAAATAATTATGTATTTCTTACATCATGCTTCTATAAATAATGTACAAGTATTTCAAAATTTTAACTAGTGTTCTGAAAACACTGTTAACAAAATTCATATATTTTTAATGTTTGTCTTGTAAACCTCAAATATTTTTACTACTATAATTATCTTTTTATTTTCTATTTAATGTTAAAAAATTAAAATCACTCATGATAATAGTTTAAAAAATATTTTATTAATCGTAAAAGTTTTCTGAAACATGATGCTTTTTTTTTAAAATTTTTTTTAATCATTTTGATAATTAATTTATTTTATAAGTTAAAAGATTTTTAAAAATTTATACAAATAAGAGAAAAGACAAACCAATTGACATACGAAATAATATCTAAACTAGATTGCTTTTGCTTACAAATATTATTATCAATAATTTTGCAAAAAAAAAAAAAAATCAAATTTAAAATTATTGAAATCTTACTTAAAAGTTGTTTTCAGTTTAAGGTCAATAGGATTTTATAAGATGAATGATATGCAACATTTTCGTAATAGTTGGGATTTCTCAACATTTTCACAAATAGAAATTTCCAGGTATTCACAAAGAAATTTCTTTTTTCATAGAGAAATTATTTCAATTCTTCAAAGAGAAATTTCACAGAAAAATTTTAGCTCGTCATGAATAAATATTAAGTAGATTTATCTATTTTATTAATTAAAAAGATATGTCAAAAAAACTTAAGGACAAGCTTAATTAGTAATTTTGCCTAAAAAAAAGCAAGAAAAATTAATTATAGACAAAAATAAAATATTAAAAATTATAATTACTATTTAAACATCAAAATGCCTCATTTAAAATTTTTCCTTTGGGTCTGAAAAAGTTTGGGTTGCAAATTGAATTATGTACATGATGAATTTATAAAGTCGGTTGAAGATACTTATTTTTACATTGTGTTTGAATTGTAAATTTGTAAAGAAAAAGAGAAATGGAGAAAAAAATAATCTACATTTTCTTCACAAATAAATAAAAGAAACCCATTTGGTTCTTTTACTGTTTTCAAATTTTTTCTCAAATTTATAATGCAAACACAATTTTAAAGATGTTTTTTCACATATAAAGGACAAACTCGTAAAGCCAATTGATGCTATATGTCATAATGAATAATACTTTCAAGTGAAAACTAC